TGTCCCATTCCTCCCGTCGTCTGCTCTTCCTACAGGGCTGGGTTAACGAATGACCTCCCAAGCAACTCCATGCCTTCACCCAGCAAAGATGCAAATATCCCAAGAGAGCTCCTAGGAAACTGACCATGGTTTTGGCCTGGGTGGCCTTCCTGATCACTCTTAGAACTGGTGGGTCTGCTTTTTCTTCAGTTTATTTATTTAAAATTTTTTTATGTTTATTCTTTTTTTTTTTTTTTTTTTTTTTTTTTTTAGAGACAAGAGTGTGAGCAAGGGAGAGGCAGACTCAGAATCTGAAGCAGGCTTTGGGCTCTGAGCTGTCAGCACAGAGCCTGAAGCAGGGCTTGAACCCACGAACTGTGAGATCATGACCAGAGCTGAAATTGGACACTTAACCAACTGAGCCACCAGATGTCCCACACTGGGGGCGTTTTAAGTGGAGGAGCAACATCTGACTTGTGTTTTCAGGGAAGCTCACATTAGCAGAATGAGAACAGATGGGAAGAGGGTTCTGACTAGAGACAGAGGGGATAGAATTAAAATAATCCAGGAGAGAAGCGATTAGAGTCTGAACCTGAGACATGCAGAAGAAGAGGAGGGGCCAGAGCTGGGGCGATTTGAGAAGGCAGAATCCAGTGTCACAACTTGGTGACTGATTGTGCAGAAGGGGGTGAAGAAAAGATCCTATGGTAACTCCAAGATATTGTGTCCAGACTGAAGGCATAAGGCTTTCTCCCCAGGGCATCTTTACTTTGAAAAATAAAGGTGAAACAGATTCCACGGAGCGAGGAAGGAAGACAGAGGCTTCCAGACTGCATCAGCCCAATCTCTCAGAAGGAGATTTCCCAAATCAGTGGAATGAGAGGTCACTATAAATGGTGCAGGGACATTAGAAACAGTGACCCCTGTGGCCAGAAAGTTTCTCCCTTTTCTATTATGCTTCTATCCTAATTAAGCCAAGATGAAAGCCTCGGTGAGTCTGTAACACATGATGATCTCCTCTTGCAAGACAGAGAGCATGCAAGTAAGCTCCGAGCAAGTCTCAGGTTCAGAGCCCTGGAGGACAGAACCAAGCTAGTTACATTGTTTTGTTTTCCTTGAAACATATATTTAGGGCTACCCCTTTATGTAAGACACCAGACTCTGATTGCCGTTTACATAGTTTTTTAAAGTTTGCTTTAGAATCGCTTCTTGGTCTTTTGGCTCAGGTCAAGTATAACATTCCCTTTTGAAATGAATGTACCTGAGAGGGGTCAGTGAGCTGGTTTAGGAAAATATATTAAGTGAAAAATGGTGCAGGAGATAGTGCAAGGGTAACAAGAATCGTGGGACATGAAAGGCTGAGGCTTGGGACACCCTGTCCTAAGAAAGCCTATGGCTGGTTAGGATGGTAAATCCCAAATTGAAACAAATCTCGGCATAATCCTAAATATAATTAAATAAGATTGCACTCATCTGGAAGGACAATCACGTAACAATTAGGGTTTGTTTGTTTTTTAATAGTTTATTTATTTTTGAGACAGAGAGAGAGACAGAGCATGAGTGGAGGAGGGGCAGAGAGAGAGGGAGACACAGAATCCGAAACAGGCTCCAGGCTCTGAGCCGTCAGCACAGAGCCTGATGCAGGGCTCGATCCCACGAACTGTGAGATCTGACCTGAGCCAAAGTCGGATGCTTAACCAAATGAGCCACCCAGGTGCCCCCGATTAGGGTTTTTTTTTAATGTTTGTTTTGCGGGGGGGTGTGGGTGTGCCTGGGGGAGGGGCAGAGAGAGAGAGAGAATCCCAAGAAGGCTCCATGCTGTCAGTGCAGACCCCAACTCTGGGGCTCAAATTCACGAACTATAAGCTCACAACCTGAGCCAAAGTCAAAAGTCAGATGCTCAACCAGTATTGAGCCACCCAGGCGCCCCATTCTCTACCTTTTTGATTCTTATGCTTCAGCTCCAGTTTGGGGAAATCATGTGGCCAAGCAATAAACTCCATGCTCCTAGAGGCCCCATTATCCAAACCACTAGGTAGGATGGTATTTAACCAAAGGACCTCAAGAACCTAAAAACCCTGGCCTCTGACTTCCCAATCTGGTACTTAAAATTTTTTTAATGTTTATTTATTTTTGACGCAGGAGGGGGACAGAGAGAGAGGAAGACAGAGGATCCAAAGCAGGCTCCCCACTGTGAGAACAGAGCCCGATGCCGGGCTCGACCTCACGAACCATGAGATCATGACCTGAGCTGAGATCAAGAGTCAGACACTTAACACACTAACCCATACAGGTGCCCTACAATCTTGGAACTTTTATTTATTCATTTATTTTTTATTTTTAAAAAAATTTTTAAATGTTTTTTATTTATTTCTAGGAGAGAGAGAGAGAGAGACAGCGTGAGCAGGGGAGGGTCAGAGAGAGAGGGAGTCACAGTGAAACAGGCTCCAGACTCTGAGCTGGCAGTCAGCACAGAGCCCGATGCGGGGCTCAAACCCACGAACTACGAGATCATGACCCAAGCGAAAGTGGGGCGCTTAACCGACTAAGCCACCCAGGCGCCCCTAATCTTGGAACTTTTAAAGGGCAAACATCAAAGTGACTCTGGGTGAGAAGACAAAAGGTCCATGATGCAAAAACTGAGAACAGAGAGCCCTTTAATGGTTAACTGGCATGGAGAGAGAGGCCCTGTCCCTTCCTTAGGCAACCCAAGGTCACTATAATAACCGAGGATTGCCACCGCCACCAACCAGAAAAAAAGAGCACCTCGCAGCTCTAGGGCTAGCTATGTCCCATCAGAATGGAAGGCCAGGTCCTGGCTCAGCACAGGACCTCATCAGAGGGTGTTAAGGTTAGAGACCTGACTGAGGACGGGGGCGAAATGACCTGGCCCCTGCTCTGCCCAGTGACTGGCCCTGGACAAACCACTAACCCTGTCTGGGCCTCGCATCCCAGTCATCTGAGGGTGTTAAGGTTAGAGACCTGACTGAGGAGGGGGGTGAAATGACCTGGCCCCTGCTCTGCCCAGTGACTGGCCCTGGACAAACCACTAACCCTGTCTGGGCCTCGCATCCCAGTTTGTGAACATCATACTGGGTGGTCGTGAAGTGAGAATGCAAATTAGTAGACCATGTGGAAGAATTTTGCTTGGCCCTGTTCTCGAGGATCTGTATGTAAATCAAATGTGAGTTTCAAGATGTGTGAGGCCGAGGTGCGTTAGAGGCCACCATGATTCTGTCATTGCTGCTGTGGTTATCATTGCCCTGGCATTTTTCTAGTTTCCTCATCTGCTACGTTAATTCTTTCAGCAACCCTTTGAGGAAGATAAAGAAGGGCAAATAATAATTATTTCCATCTAACAGGGGAAAGAAGGGCAAAGAGCTTAAATGCACCGCCAAGGATTGCCTGGCTGGTTTGTGCAGCGAGGCTTATCTGCTCAACCGCATCCAGCAGAATTGAATTTCCACATCTTCAAAATGGGTGCCGATCCAACTTGGGCTCCTACGGATGAAATGCGAGGAAGGGAAAGGGAGAGGGAGATGCATAGATTCAGAGATCTACAAGACAGATGCATCAACGGCTAATGGGTAAGAGGGTCCTTTCTGGGGGTCATGAAAATGTTCTCATCTTACAATACAATGAGGGTTTCACAACTCCTTAGTAAGCGTTGATTTGTACACTTGATTTTTTATTTTTTAAAAGATTTAATTATTTAAGTAATCTCTACACCCAACGTGGGGCTTGAACTCACAACCCCGAGATCAAGAGTTGCACGCTCTTCCAACTGAGCCAGCCAGACACCTCGATTTGTACACTTTAAATAGATGAATTTTATAGTATGTAAATTATCGCTCAACAAAGCTATTAAGAAAAAGACACATCTGGGTTTTGTTTGTTTGTTTTTTAAATGGGCAAGCGTCTTGTGACCAGGAATGATTATTTGGGTGCTAAGCCTCTAAAGAAATTTAAGGAAGTGATTATTGTAAAAGTCAGATTCCTTTCAGGTAGAGGAAGAGTTGTGTGATCGGGACAAGGTACATGAAGGAGCTTCTGGGGTGGGTATGAAGGTTTTATTTCTTGACCTAAAGCGTACTTAACAAGGGTGTTCACTTTATAATAATTCATTATATTCCACATGTGTTTTATGGGGTTTTATTTTCCGTTAGTTTTCTTTATTTATTTTGAGAGAGAATGAAGGGCAGAAAGAGAGAGAGAGAGAATGAATCCCAAACACTGTCGGTGCAGAGCCCAACACAGGGCTTGAACTCACGAACCCGCGAGATCGTGACCTGAGCCGAAATCAAGAGTAGGACACTTGGCTGACCGAGCCACCAGGCAGCCCTTTTATGGAGTTTTCTCTATCCGTTGTGTTATATAATAAAACGGTTTTTAAAAATAGGGGGAATCTAGCAGGAAATGACACGCTGTGCTGGCCAGACTCTCAGGTGTCCCCTGGTAGTCCCGCCCTTGCTTAATCCTGTCCCCTCGAGTGTGGACAACTCGTTTTTAACCAGCAGAGTAAGTCAAGGCAATAGGATGTATGTGATGAAGTGTACGTGATTATATCACACAGGAGTTAAAGTCCACCTGGCTAGGAGACCTTCTCTTCCTTGTTGGCTTTGAGGAGGTGAGGGGCTACGCTGCAGAGGCCCATGAGGTAAGGAACTGAGGGTGGCCCCCAGCCAACAGCCAGCGAGAAATGAGGCCCTCAGTCCGACAACCTGCGAAGAACCGAATGCTACCACCAACCATTTGAGTCTGGAAGGAGTTCCTTCCCCAGTTGAGCCCCAGATAACACCACGGCGCCAGGTCATACCTTGACTGCAGCTTGTGAGACCCCCCAAGCAGAGGCCTCGTCTCAACGGTGCCCTGACCCCCGGCCCACAGAACCCATGTGTTGTTTGAAACTACTGCATTCACGGTCATGGCTGCGAATAACCTGCCCCGAGTTTGGGGGTGCCCTCAAACCACTCTCAGGCTCAGAGACTCACTAGAAGCGCCCAGAGAACTCAACAAAGTGATTGTAGTCTTGGTTACAGTTTATTACAGTGACAGGATACAGATTAAAATCAGCAGTAGCAAAAGGCACAGCACACGGGGCAGGAGCCAAGGGACACCCACTGTCCTCATCACATGGAGTCACAGGACAAGGTGAGTTCTAGCGACAATGTGTGGCAATGTACAAGGAGCACTGCCAACCAGGGCACCTTGGTGCCCAGGGCTTTTACTAGGGGTCAGGCACCCAGGCAGGCCTTAGTCTCCAGCCCCTCCCCCACCCCTCCTGCCCAGGTCAAGGTGATAGCTCCTGGCCCGAGGCCCTCAGGTAAACAGACACTCTGATCAGGCAGGATTTCCCCAGGACTTAGGGGTGACCTCCTGGGAGCCAGTCGATAGCCCCTGCTCTCTTGAGAACATGCAGCTTGATCATCCCAAGCCTGCAGTGAGCCCTTTCCTGCTCACCCACTAACTCCAGAAGTGGGATCCTTGTGAAGCAGCCACCTGCTTGAAGGCCGAGGGAGAAGCCGGGAAACCACCATGTGCCAAGACCCAGGGGCCCTTTACACCTGCGCTGGCCTTATAGTCAGAGAGTTTCCAGGAGTTAAGCCATAGAGCCAGAAGGCAGGGTGCAGAGGAGAGGAGGAAGAGACGGGGCACTCATACAGAAGCGACTCCTCATTAGCCACCGAATAGAAGGCAAGTGTGCCCCCCTCCAGGTCCAGCCAGATGCCCACCACCTTCGGTCTGTCAGAGCCGAGGACGGTTTCCTTGACCATGTGCCAGGCAGAGAGCTGGCGAGTCCCCTTCCACTCTACACACCAGGAGTCTCCGGTCCTTCCCAGGGTCTGGTTGCGCCTCATTCCCCAGGAAGCCACCCCAACTGCCCAGTGGCTGCAGTGCTCAGTGTCCACTTCCCAGTACTGCTGCCCTGAAGAAAAGGCCTGGGAACATAAGACCTGGCAGGTCACAAACCTCTCATGACTCCAGAGATGGGTCTGCGGGCAGCGAGATACAGTCACCACCCGGCGGTCCTCAGACACCTCCAGACTACAGGAGTGGCTCCGAAGGTCAAAGGTCGGACTGATGGCCCCTGAGGAAATGAACAGGGAGATGACCAGCTCTCCCTCTAAGAGCAAAATACAGCTTTGTATCTTTTTTTTTTTTTAGTTTAGTTTTGAGAGAGAGAGAGAGAGAGAGAGAGTGTGTGTGTGTGTGTGTGTGTGTGTGTGTGTGTGTGTGAGTGGGGGAGGGGCAGAGAGAGAGAGAGAGGGAGACACAGAATCCGCAGCAGGCTCCAGGCTCTGAGCTGTCAGCACAGAGCCCGATGCAAGGCTCGAACCTGGGAATGGCGAGATCATGACCTGAGCCAAAGTCGGATGCTTAACCCACTGAGCCACCCGGGCGCCCCCAGCTTTCTATCCTTGAGAGTGATGAAGTTTTACTTACGCTGGCATTAAAATTGGTACGTCAACTTGCAGTCTTCTATTGTAGTTCTAGTAACAATCCTTTCCATGTTCATTTTTATTTCCCCATTTTAGCCTGGAATTTGGGAGTCTTCCATCCCTTTTGTCTTTGTAACAGCTCCCCTGTGAGCCCAGGACAGGCTCAGCAGCAGGGAGGTGGACTGGCAGGCCAAACCCAAGTTTTGTTTTGTCTTGCTTAATTCTCTTTTGAGAGAGAGGGAGGGAGCTCGAGTAGGGGAGAGGGACGGAGAGAAAGAGAATCCTAAGCAGGCTCCACGCTGGGCACAGAGCCCAACACAGAACTCAGGGCTCAATCCCACAACCCTGAAATTGTGACCTGAGCCAAAATCAGGTCACAGTCCGATGCTCCACCGACTGAGCCCAACCAGGCGCCCCAGGCCACACCCAGGTTTTAAGCGGATGACATACTTACAATGAGCAAACCGGGAGGCCCTCGTGGGGGCACGGTGGCTGCAGTCAGGCAGTGGGTGTGAAGAGGAAGATGGAGCTTCCTGGAGTTCCACTAAGGAATCAAAACATTGGGAAGGGGGAAAAGTCTCATCAAAAAGAAAAAAAAAAAAAGGCAAATAGAAGGCATCAAACATCGCGATCAGGGTACACAGCTTTTGTGTAGTGTCACACTTGGATCAGATGGGACATCCAGCTCAAGGATTGATATGGAGATGGTGGGGTTCAGAGCGAACGGTCAAGAAAAAATTCTTGAGACATTGTTGGTGCAAAACAGTGTTTTGTTTTGTTTTGTTTTTAATATTTTTATTTATGTCTAGGAGAGAGAGAGAGAGAGAGAGAGACAGCGTGAGCAGGGGAGGGTCAGAGAGAGAGGGAGTCACAGACTGAAACAGGCTCCAGGCTCTGAGCTGGCAGTCAGCACAGAGCCCGACGCAGGGCTCGAACCCACGAACCGCGAGATCATGACCTAAGCGAAAGTCGGACGCTTAACCGACTAAGCCACCCAGGCGCCCCGCAAAACAGTGGTTTTATTAAAGCTGGGGACAGGACCCGTGGGTGGAAAGAGCTGTATTTGGGTTGCGAGGGGTGGCCGACCCTATGCCCTCAGGGTGGGAAGCGGTTAGGGATAGCGTAAGTCTGTAAGGAGTCTTGGAAGCAAGGTTTCCAGAACCTGGAGGGGGCCAGCTGTTGTTAGGAAAGGGTCATTTGTTTGTCTAGCAAACCCTCAGTCAGGAGACCCTTCACATGTGCATCATGCTCCTTATGCTTGGAGGATGATTGCTAACATATATCCGGGGACGCAGAGGTAAAAAAAAGTTTCCAAAGGAATGTTAAATGTTCCATGTGTTAAAGTGGACTTACAGGCTCCTGGGGGGTGGGGTAATATTAAGATAAGACTGTCTTTTGCCCCTAGCAAAGTGTCACCAGAGAGGTGGCTGGGCTTCCAGGGGAAGATCACTCTGCTTGTTTCAAGGACTTGTCAGTGGGCTGTAAGTTACCTCTGTTTCTCTTTAAGTTTATTTAGTTTTGAGGAGAGAGAGAGAGAGTGTGTTTGTGAGTGAAAGCAGGGAAGGGATGGGGGGGTGGCGGGCAGAGGGAGACACAGGATCAGGATCTGAAGCAGGCTCCAGGCTGTGAGCTGACAGCACAGAGCCTGACATGGGGCTTGAACTCACAAGCCGTGAGATCATGACCTGAGCTAAAGTTGGAGGCTTAATAGACTGGGCCACCCGGGCGCCCCGTGTTTCCCACATCATTACGTTCAGCCCCATGTTCTCACTATGCACTTCTTGTACTGCCTGTTTCCCTGGTAAGATCTAAGCTCCTTGCTGGTGTGAGAAGTAAGGGAGATGATTCATTTTCAGAAATACCAAATAAAAGCTGTGTTGTCTAGTTAACAGTAGGTTTACAACAAACTGGAAATATATATGTCCCCCCCATAACGGAGCCTCAAGCCCTTAGATACTTCACTTTCTGGATCTTCTTCCCCCACCCCTCTCCATTTCATAGGCTTATTTTCAAGGGCTTTGAATGAGCATGCACCAAAGAACAAAGGAAGGAGGGACTGAAAGTCTCTGCATCACCTCAGGGAATATACCTTTGTTCCAATCAGACTACTTTTTGCCTTACATGGGCATAGGTGACATCCAGGTAAGGCTGAAACCTCTGCAGTAGTGCTCAGCCAGTGAGGAACCAGGGGAGGGACTTGCATGCTAGGAGATAAACTGTCTGCTGTAACTGCCTTGAGTGTGCCTGTCCATCAGACACCTGCTCTTGCAAGAACGTTGATCAAAGCCTCACTTTACTGTGAGGGCCCCTCAGTGGACTTATTTCTAACACTGGTAGAGACCTTGTTCATCTTTATGTTCTAAGCACCAAGCATGGTACCAGGAACATAGAAGGGTTAGATGCATATGTATCAAATAAATTAGCCGATACAGTTTCAGGGGATCACAGCACCCTGACACCCAGAATATCCATGACCCTCCCCATCGAATGCCATGCCATCCATCAGTGCTTTAAAATGTTACTTTGTGGGGCACCTGGGTGGCTCAATCTGTTAAGCGTCCGACTTCGGCTCAGGTCATGATCTCACGGTTCGTGGGTTCGAGCCCCACGTCAGGCTCTGTGCTGACAGCCAGCTCAGAGCCTAGAGCCTGCTTTGGATTCTGTATCTCCCTTTCTCTCTGACCCTCTTGTGCTCATGCTCTCCTTCTCTCTCCCAGAAATAAATAAAACATTAAAAAAAACCCAACTTGTTTTAAAAATTAATTAATTAATAAAATGTTATTTTGTATGAGTAAATTCTGAATGGGCACTCAAGAAACTAACACAAGCAGCTAACTGAAACAGGGCAATAGGCAAATTGGGCAAGAGTGGAAAAGAGACCTTCCCTGTGTGCTTTTATATTGTTTTGACTGCTAAATTTAACATTTTAAATTCAGCGCCAAAATTTAAACATTTCAATTATTTATTTATTTTTAGATGTTATTTTTAAGTAATCTCTACACCCAACATGGGGCTGGAACTCACAACCCTGAGACTGAGTCACACGCTCCCCCGACTGAGCCAGCCAGGTGCTCCTAAAATACTGATTTTAAATTTATGTACGTAAATAAGATCACTAAGGAGTCCGATCTAAACTTAGGGGTACACAGGAGGCACGGGGGTACTTATTTTTCAGATCATTTATGGAACAACTAATAAAGTGTGCTCTGATTGGTTCATGTCTCCCTCTCCCTCCCTCCCCTACTCATGCTCTGTCTCTCTCTCAAAAATAAATAAACATTAACAAAATTTTTTAAATAATTTTTAAGCAGAGCAAGATCATTTGAATATAAAACAGTTATAAGAGATATGTCCCTAAAGCACATAAAGCTGACCATGGCCAGACCAGGGGGCAGAAGAGAGGGAGGCCAGAGCTAATGTCTAAGGGGCAGGTGTGAACTGTTCACGGTTAGTCATGACTAGGGTTACAACAGAGAACGTACAAAGTCAGAACAGAAAGGTTCCTTTCTGTGTTTTTCTGTGTTTTTCCTGTTTATTATTAGCACAACTGGCCGGAGATGATATGTTAATAGAACTTAACAAGGACTGTTTACAAAATTTAAATGTTAACATGCTTTATTATCAAACACATTTCATAGTTAAACATAAAAAGCAGCCTATTTCAGGGGCGCCTGGGTGGCTCGGTTGAGTGCCCGACTCTGGCTCAGGTCATGATCTCACAGTTTCTGGGTTCGAGCCCCACGTCGGGCTCTGTGCTGACTGCCAGCTCAGAGCCTGAAGCCTGTTTCAGTCTGTGACTCCCTCTCTCTCTCTGACCCTCCCCTGCTCATGCTGTCTCTCTCTCTCTCTCCTAGTAATAAATAAAAATTAAAAAAGGAAAAAAAAAAGCAGCCTATTTCTTTTTTTTTTTTTTTAAGTTTATTTCTTTATTTTGAGAGAGACAGAAACCGCACAAGTGGCGGAGGGGCAGAGAGAGAGAGGGAGACAGAGAATCCCAAGCCGGCTCTGCGCTGCCAGCTCGGAGCCCGATGCGGGGCTCGAACTCACGAAACCGTGACACCATACCCTGAGCTAAAACCAAGAGTCGGTTGCTCAACCGACTAACCCACCCAGGTTCCCTAAAAACAGCCTATTTCTGAATCTCCTCAGGTGGATAACCCAGATGAGCAGTAAGCTAGCAAAATCAGGTCTGGGTTCTGGATGTACAGGTCTCAGAAAATGAGTTTCTATTTTTTAAAGGCCTGTGTTACATCATACCACCAGTCATATCCAAAAAACATATCCAGCCACAAAAACACCTCAGCCCACTCTTTCCTCATTTACAGCCCCACAGGAATAACACAGCTGGGCTCTGGGATCCTATCCCCCAAAAACAAAGCCAGGGAACACTCTGTCATTTCCCCCAACTTCCATATTTAATCCTCCACCAAACAAAATCACCTTACCCTGCACTGGTTCTTCAAGGGTGTCTTTCCACATCAAGTTTGCCCGTAATTTTTCCCGGATTTCTTCTAAGTCATGCAGAATGTCTCTCATTTTTCGCTCAGGTGTGTGGGGAGTCACAGGCTCTGAAGAAGCCAAAGAAAGGTCCACCCCACTGGAAAAAGACTAGAGATGAATCACCCAAAATAAATTCATTAATTCAAGTCTCTTAAGGTATGCGTCAAATAGTATATTCTAATTCTGCCACCTCTGATTTTCTCCTTGCCCCCTCACAAATTTTTAAAAACATAATTAGGCCCTCAGACGATATGCCTTGACAGGAATCTGGAAGAATACAATGGGCAGCAAAAATATTAAAGAGTGGTTATTTCTGGGTGGTGGGGGTATGCGGTGGTGTTCATTTGCTTTCTTTTTTTAAAACAATTTTTTTTTTTTTTTTTTTTTACAAATAGTTTATGGTCAAATTAGTTTCCACATAACACTCAGTGCTCATCCCCGCAAGTGCCCTCCTCCATGCCCATCCCTCCTCCCTCCCACATCCATCAGTCCTGTTTTTGTCAGCATTCAAGAGTCTCTCATGGTTTGCCTCTCTCCCTTTCCCCCACCATTTCCCCCCTTCTTCTCCCCCTTGTTCCTCCGTCAAGTTCCTCCTAATCCTCCTATACGTGCAAACATATGGTATTTGTCCTTCTCTGCCTGACTTATTTCGCTCAGCATAACACCCTCAAGGTCCATCCATGTTGCTACACATGGCCAGATTTCATTGTTTCTCATTGCCATGTAGTATTCCATGGTATAGATAAACCACATCTTCTTGATCCATTCATCTGTTGATGGACACTTAGGCTCTTTCCATGACTTTTTTTAAAACAATTTTTTAAGGTTTGTTGATTTTTCAGAGAGAGAGACAGAGTGCGAGCAGGGGAGGGGCAGACAGACAGGGAGAAATAGAATCTGAAGCAGGCCCCAGGCTCCGAGCTGTCAGCACAGAGCCCAATGCAGGGTTCGAACTCACAGACGAGGTCACGACCTTAGCCAAAGTCGGACACTTAACCAGTTGAGCCACCCAGGTGCCCCTCATTTGCTTTCTTTAAACTGTTTATGTATTTTCTAGTATTTTCTACAATAAACATGGATTTCTTAGCTAATACCAAAAAAAAAGGTATTAAACTTTGTAAGCCCACCCTATAGGGGCTTTACAAAATGAATAATACAGATAGTCACCAAGATAAGCTACAGAGGCCAGAATAACCTTTCCCGGGAGGCAACCATTCTATCATCTCTCTTCTCAAGAGCCAGCATAGCCACGTTGGCGGCACCCAGGCCCTCCCGGCTCTCTCGGGCTTCCAACACACGCTCCCTGATTTTCTGTAACCTCAGGTCCGGTTGTTCCCTGACACAGCCTCTCATCTGCTCCCACATTCCCACCTTTGGTCCCGGACTTTCCTTCCCAACTTTGCATATCCTATTTCCCATTCTTCTTACCACTCATAAAGTAGCAGGCCCAACGGACTGAGTGCTTTCCACAGCTTACTTCCAATATGTGAAACAACCTTCCAGGGTGGGTTTGCTATCCCCATTTTACAAAAGAAGTTACAGCTCATGGAGGTGAACTAAAGTGCCACGGTGAACTTTATCAACCTGCATTTTCCCATCACTTAACTCTTTTTTTTTTTTAATGTCTATTTATTTTTGAGAGAGAGAGACAGAGCACTAGCAGGGGAGGGGCAGAGAGAGAGGGAGACACAGAATCTGAAGCAGGTTCAAGGCTCCGAGCTGTCAACACAGAGCCAATGCGGGGCTCGAACCCACGAACCCACGAACCACAAGATCATGACCTGAGCCGAAGTCAGATGTTTAACCAACTGGGCCACCCAGGTGCCCCTACTTAAGCACTTTTTTATACCAGAGCTCTTTTAGTCCTCATATCAAACCAGCGAGGCAGCAGGCCACGTGTCAGTGTTCCTATTTTACAGATAAAATGAGATTCAGAAAGAAGAAATGACTTGCCCAAGGTCAGAATACACATGGGTGGCAATGCCAAGGGGGAAAGTCAGACTCTCAGGCTTTTCTCCCCCCAACACCTTGTGTCCCTGAAGACCCGTGTATTCACTCCTTCAATGAGCATTTGTTGAACACCTAACTATGTGCCAGACAAGAGTGAACAAAAGAACAAAAGCCACCAAGGTCTCTACCCTAATGAAGCTTAGAGTCTGGGGCAGGGGAAGAGGGAGAACAAACATGAATAAATGATGGCACCAATCATCATCGAGTTCCAACTTGTGACAACTGTTACAAAGGAAGTCGTAAGAGCCTCTAACAGGGGGACTTGTTCGAGGAAATCAGTGAAGGTTTCTCCTGGGAAGTGATGATCTAGCTGGGGGTCTGCAGGAGGAGCAGGCATTACCTAGGTGACAGGGTGAAAAGAAGAACGGTCCGTGGAGTGCACCCTGGTGGTAGGAAGAGGCATGACACCCTGGAGGCACTGATGGGGGCCAGCGTGGCTGCAGCTTGAAGAGCCCAGGGTGAGGAGGGAGAGGGGAGCCAGATGGAAGGAGACAGGAGAGGCAGGCAGGGCAGGAGTCCTGCGGGGCCCTGTTGGTTCTGTGAGGACTGCCGGGATTTGGGTCTTAATCCCCCACAAGCAGATGGCAGTGGAGATGTTGTAAATCAGACTTGTGTTTGAGAGGACCCTAAGGAGAGCAGACCAGTGGGAATGGAGTGGACGAATTAATTATTGCAGCAATCCAGGCAAGAAACGTTCAGAGGCTTGGGTCAGAGATGTCTCCAGAAAGTTCGACAGTAGCAAATAGATCCCAGGGATGTTTAGGTTGGTGAGGAGACGGGTGACAGGATTCCCGGGTTTCTGGCTTGTGCCCTTAGGAGACTATGACAGGCCCAGTCGCTGAGATGGAAACAGTTTGGGACATTTCTCATACGTTTATTAATTTATTTTCGAAGGGGGAAGAGGCAGAAGGAGAGGGGGACGGAGGATCTGAAGCAAGCTCCATGCTGACAACAGAGAGCCCAATGTGGGACTCAAACCCATGAACTGTGAGATCATGACCTGAGCTGAAGGCAGATGCTTAACCGACTGAGCCACCCAGGCGCCCCCAGTCTGGGACACTTTAAGTGTGATGACCTTTGAGACACCAAGAGGAAAAGGGAAGAAGGAAGACACCAGACCAGAGCTCAAAGAAAGATCCAGGCTGGAGCTATGGTGTACACAGGGTGGTAATTAAAGCCATGGTGTGGGGAAGACCACGCAGCAGGGAAGAGAAAGGGATGTACAAGTCAGCCTTGAGGGAGTTTGGGCACTCCGTTGCTGAGGAGAGAAAGAGAGTGAGCCTGCAAGACAGACGGAGAGGAAGCCAGCCAGAGAGAAACAGGCGAAGGTCAGAAGACTCCTGTCCTAGAAGCTAAGGGAAAAGGAAGCTTCAGGAATGAAGGTGTGGCCAAAGGCTGCTGAAAGGTCAATGCAGGTGAGGACTAGACCGTCTGCAGGACTTGCACAGAGGTCACGGGGGACCTCAGAGCTGGTTACGTACAGGGCTGAGGATGGGGCATAGCCCACCTGACGCTCCCCTGCCTCACTTCAAGCATTCCACACTTCCGCTCAAACACGTCTGACCATAAGAAAATAATAACATATGAAGATGTACTGCATCCTTCAACTTCCAAACACGTTCCCGATGGTTGCTCCAGTTGGGCACGGTCCCCAGCCCCACCCAGCATACCCTTTCCCCTCCCGGCTGCACCTACCAAGCCTGGGGGGCTCCCTTCATCGTCTGCTCCGGATTCTGGGAGGTGTGTCCGACTCTGAAGGCTCCCGACAATGTCCACAAGCCGTTCCACCAACCCTTCCAGCTCCTGCCCAACTTCTGCGATGCTCTTCTGTGCCGCCGCCTTTAAAAGAACAAAGAAGAACACAAAGCTGGACCCAGGAAGCCAGCTCCAGACCGGGAGGCTGTAGACACTGGACAAAGGAAGCAGGCAAGTAAGTGACAAAAACGTCCAGGGGACAAGGAGGTAGACTTCCCAGACCTTGTGCCTGCCTACTGATTGTTTGGCGGCCATAACAGGGTATCAGAGCCCATCCATGGCGGGGGTGGGGGGGGAGACTGAAGCTTGCAGGGGCTCGGGGGTCATTCTGCAGAGGAGGCCAGAGAGGAAATGGTGAGAGCCTGGAGATTTGGCAGAGTGGGTGCAGTCAGCAAGGTGACAGGGGCAGTGGAAGGAATCAAATGAGAGAGGTTTAAGGTCCAGTGTCACCAGAATCATCCTGTGTCCTTACCATTCCTTTCAAAGTAAAAATGACCCTTCTTGCTTCTTCTCTTCAACACTGCAGAGACTCAACCTAACCATTTACCGCACAGGGATCTTGGAGACTTTCAAGTGCTGCGCAGATGCGAGCACCTTTTGTTTGCTTACGGACATCCTGCACATTTTTTAAAATTTTTAATGTTTATTTATTTTTGAGAGAGAGAGAGAGAGAGACGGAGTACAAGTAGGGAAGAGGCAGAGAAAGAGGGAGACATAGAATCCGAAGCAGGCTTCAGGCTCCCAGCCGCCAGCGCAGAACCCAATGCGAGGCTTGAACCCACGACCGTGATATCATGATTTGAGCTGAAGTCGGATGCTTAACCAACTGAGCCACCCAGGTGCCCCTGACGTCCTGCACATTTAAGGCAATATTCAGATTAGAGCGCTAAACAACCCCACTTAAACACCTTCATCTGCTCAGCTGCCTGGCTGGGAGGGGAAGTAAGTTCTGCAGCCAACATTCTGGCAACAACTTCAAGGCCTGGTGACCCTCCTCAGAGGCAGGATGGGCCCAGACTTCAAATGGTGAACACCCCATGACTCCCCCACGGGGTCCTAGGTCACGTCACAGAAATACAAGGCATTCATCATCCAGCTCTCAATAAACCAGTTTTTATAACTTTGTTCTGACACTTTTCTTTTCTAAATCATGCTGGAACCTCAAATTCTGAAATTAACCCAGAACCTTCTGCATCTCCAATAAGCCTGACGTCCCTCTGGGGCGCCTGGGTGGCTCAGTCAGTTAAGCGTCCAGTTCTTTACTTCAGCTCAGGTCATGAGATGGAGCCCCGCATCGGGCTCTGTACTAACATCACAGAGCTTGCTTGGGATTCTCTCTCCCTTTCTCTCTGCCCCTCCTGACTCGTGTGCTTTCTCTCTCTCAAAGTAAATAAACATAAACATATAAATATGAATATATCTTGTGTCACCCTATACAGAAACATCATAGAACAGACACTGTCAGAACTAATTATGTCAGAACTCCGGAAAAGACTCAGAGGGAAATTTATAAATATAAGTGCCTGCGTTTGCATTTAAAAAAAGAAGAAAGAGGGGCGCCTGGGTGGCTCAGTCGGTTAAGCGTCCAACTTCAGCTCAGGTCATGATTCGTGGGTTCGTGGGTTCGAGCCCTGCATCAGCCTCTGTGCTGACAGCCAGCTCAGAGACTGGAGTCTGTTTCAGATTCTGTGTCTCCCTCTCTCTCTGACCCTCCCCTGCTCACGCTGTCTCTCTCTCTCTCTCTCAGAAATAAATAAAACATTTAAAAAAGGCTTTAAATAAAATATTTAAAAAAATAAGTTAAAAAAAAAAGAAGAAGAAAGATCTCAAATCAATCACTTAACATTTATACCATGAGGAACTAGGTGGGGAAAGGGCAAACCAAACCCAAAGCTAACAGAAGGAAGGAAATAATAGATTACAGGAGATAAATAAAATGGAGCATGTAAAAACAATAGAGAGTATCAATGAAACAAAAGTTGGTTCTTTGAAAAAAATCAATAAACAGATGAATCTTTAGCTAGACTGATAAAGAAAAAGAGAGAGAAAACATAAATAACTAAAATCAGAAAAAAAGTAAAGTGGAGACATTAAAGGAGACTGACCTTATAGAATAAAATTTTAGAGAATATTATAAACTTTTTATGCCAACAAATTAGATAACTTACATGAAATGGATAAATTCCTAGAAACACAAATTATCTAAACTGACTTAAAAAGAAACAGAAAATCTAGGGGTGCCTAGGTGGTTCAGTCGGTTGAGCGCCGGACTTCAGCTCAGGTCATGATCTCACAGCTCCTGAGTTTGAGCCCCGCGTCGGGCTCTGTGCTGACATCTCCGAGCCTGTGGCCTGCTTTGGATTCCTGTCTCTGTCTCTCTTTGCCCCTCCCCTGCTTGTGCGTGCGCACGTTCTCTCTCTTTCTCTCAAAAATAAACAAACATTAAAAAAAGAAATTTCTAAAAAAGAAATAGAAAATCTCAACAGAGGTATAACAAAGAGACTGAATCAGTAATCAAAATTCCAACAAAGAAAAGTCCAGGACTAGATGGATTCACTGATGAATTCTACCAAATGCTTAAAGAAGAATTAACAGGAGTCCTCCTCAAAGTGTTTCAAAACATCGAAGAGGATGGAACATGTCCTAACTCCTCAGTGAAACCAACGTTACCCAGATGCCACAGCTAGATAAACACATCGCAAGAAAATTACAGGTCAATATCTCGTATAAATCTTGATGTTGAAATCCTTAATAAATGCTAGCAAACTAAATCCAGTGGGATGGTAAAAGGATAATACACCATGGTCAAGTAGAATTTATCACAGGAATGCAAAGTGGTACACCTTAAGAAAAAACAACCAATGTGATACACATTAGTGGAATGAAGGGGAAAAAAACACATAATCTTTTCATTTGATGCAGACAAGGCATTTGACAAAACCCAACACCCTTTCATGATAAAAACACTCAGAAAACCAGGAATAGAAAGGAAATTCCTTGGGGCGCCTGGGTGGCTCAGTTGGTTTAGCGTCCGACTTTGGCTCAGGTAATGATCTCATAGTTCGTGGGTTCGAGCCCCGCATCAGGCTCTGTGCTGACAGCTAGCTCAGAGCCTGGAGCCTGTTTCAGATTCTATATCTCCCTCTCTCTCGGACCCTCCCCTGCTCATGCTGGCTCTCTCTCAGAAATAAATAAAACATTTAAAAATATATAAAAATGAAACATTTAAAAATTTAAAAAAAAAAAGAAAGGAAATTCCTCAACATACTAAAGGGAATTTATGAAAAATCTACAACTAACATCATACTCAATGCTGAAAGACTGAAAACTTTGCCTCTAAGAGCAGGAACAAAACAAGCACGCCTGATTTCACCTCTGCTACCACACTTTGTACTGGAAACTTTAGCCCAAGTAATTAGACAAGAAGTAAAAGGCATCCTCGGGGTGCCTGGGTGGGCTCGGTGGCTTGTGCTGAAAGACACAAGAATAGCACACAAAAAGATGTGTTTCAAGCAGCTGCAGTGAACAATCCAAAAAGGAAATTAAGAACCCAATTCCATGTATAACAGCACCTAAAAGGACTAAAATACCTAGGAATATATTTAACCAAGGAGATGAAAGGACTTGTATTTTTGAAAACTACAAGAGCATCACTAAAAAGAAAGTTAAGACCTAAATAAATGGAAAGACATTCCATGTTTCTGGAAGAAGGCTTATTATTGTTAAAGACGTCATACTCAAAGTGACCTGCAGAGACAACACAATCCCTCTCAAAATTCCAACAGCCTTGTTTGCAGAATGGTAACATCAATCTTCAAATTCATACGGAATTTCAGGGAACCTGAAGAGCCAAAACAATCTGGAAAAAGAAGAGTCAGACTTACACTTCCTGATTTCAAAATTTACTACAAAGCTGTATTAATGAAAACAATGCGGTACTGACATATGGATAAGACCCCCTCCCCTCCCCAAAAAAAACAAAAAACAATGGACCAGAAGTAGGAGTGCAGAAATTAACCCATTAATCTCTGGCCAAAAATCTATATGATTTTTTTTTTTTTATGAGGGTGCCAGGTTCACTCAATGGAGAAAAAATATTCTTCAACAAATGGTACTCGAACAACTAGATTTTCACATGCAACAGAATAAAGTTGGACCCCTACCTCATGCTGTATAGAAACACTAATTCAACACGAGTCAGCAACCTCAATATTAGACTTATCACCATAAAATTCTAGGAACATATATGAGGATAAATCTTCATGAACTCAGAATTTGGCGATGGATTTAGATACGACACCAGAAGCAAGAACAATAAAAAAAGAAATAGATAAATCAGACATTGGCAAAACTTAAAACTTTTGTGCATCAAGGGACATTAGCCAGAAAGTAAAAAGACAACCCACAGAATGGGGGGAGATATTTGCAAGTCATACACCTGCTAAGGGCTTAATATCCAGAATTTATAGAGAATTGCTAACACTCAACAAGAAAAAGACAACCCAATATTTTAAAGTTTATTTATTTATTTTGGGAGAGAGTGTGTGTGTGAGCAGGGGAGGGAGCAGAGAGAGAGAGAGAGAAATAATCCAAAGCAGGCTACACACCATTACCGCAGAGCCAGACTCCAGACTTGAACTCACCAACTGTGAGATCAGGATGTGAGCTTTAACCAAGTAGAATGCTTAACCGACTGAGCCACCCAGGCACCCCAAAGACAAGCCAACTAAAAAACAAAAAACAAACAAACAAAAAACACCAAAGGACCTGAATAAACATTTCTCCAATGAAGATACTTAAATGAGCAATAAGGACACGAAAAGATGATCAGTCAACATCATTAATCATTCGGGAAATCCAGATCAAAACCATGGAGAGAAAGGACTTCATGCCTAATGGGAAAGGCATGCTAAAAACAAAGTGATAGGAGGGGGAGGGGAATACAAAGAAAATGAAAACTAACACGTGTTGGCAAGGATGTGGAAAAATCAGAACCTCCTACTTTGCTGACGGAATGTAAAATGTCGCTGCTGTGGAAAACGGTTTGGCTGTGTTCCTCAGTAAGTGAAACACGGAATTCCCATACAACCCAGCAAGTCCGCTCCTAAGTATTTACCCAAAAGAACGGAGAATAAGGGCTGGACACACCACTGTTCGCTGCATCACGACTCCCAATGATCAGAAGCTAGGAAACAATCCAAACGGCCATCCGTGTACAAGTGGATGAACAACACGTGGTACACACACGCAAGGGGATATTATTCAGCCACAAAAAGGAGTAAGATTCAGGTGTGCGCTACCACACGAACGAACCCTGAAAACATATGGCAAGTGGAAGGAGCCCGACACACAGGGACAAATACAAGGTTGCACGCATATGCCGTATCCAGCGTAGGCGAATCCCAGGCACAGAAAACAGACCAGCGGTTACCAGGAGCTGCGGGGAGCTGGGACGCGAAGCTCCTGCTGAAGGGGTGCAGTTTGTTTGCGGTGCCGGCATTCTGGAAACAGAAACTGCTGAGAGCTGTACATCACTGTGGCTATAACTAACGCCACTGAACTGCACACTTTAACAAATGGTTAAGGTGACTGATCTTGGGCTACGTCTTCCCCCAGGATAAAAGTGTTCAAAGAGACAGACTGCGGAAAGGCTGGACAGAGGTGGCAACGTGCCGGGGAGGAGCTAGAGCGGCCGCGCGGCCGGGCTGTCGCGCGGCGGGTTTCGCCGGCTTGCGTGCGCCGGTGCGAACGCCCCCGGGAGCCGGAGCGCGCAGAGCGAGAGCGCGCAGAGCCGAGGCAGGGTGAGCGCGGGGGGAAGGGCGGGGGCCGCGGGCAGGCGCGCGCAGCCGAGGGCCGCGCGGGCCCGCCTCCCTACCGGCAGCGGGGCCGCGCGGCGCGGGCGCGCGGGCGCGGGCGCGGGCGCGGGGCGGGCGGCGGCTTCCCCGGCGGGAGCGGCGCCGGAGGCCCCCCTCAGCTCGCGCAGCGCCCGGCTGTACTTGTCCGCCAGCTCCTGCAGCAGCGTGTTCTTCCGCAGCTGCGGTGGCTGCGCGGCCCGCTCGCGGCAGGTGGGGCAGGAGCGCGGGCGGCCGGGGCTGCCGGCGGCCCACACGCCCCTCAGGCAGTCGCGGCAGAAGTTGTGGCCGCAGGGCAGCGTGGCGGGCCAGGAGAGCAGCCCTTGACAGATGATGCAGCCCAGGTCGTCCTCGGCCAGCCACACGGGGACGGTCAGGCCGGGGTCCAGGCCCGCCATGGTGACCAGGCCGCCCCCAGACGCCGGGGCGCGGAAGTCAGAGCCTCGTCGGGCACCGCCCCCCCCACCCCCCCGGCGTCGCCGGCTCCTTCCGCCCCTCCCTCGCGGCCTTCCACTCCCCGCCTTGGTCCACCCATTTTTTCCTGACTTCGATCCTGCTGAAAGCGGACGTCGACCCTCCCCCGCACAGCGCGCCGCGCCCTAGGGCCAAGCTGGCCGGAGTCACAGCCACTTGCGTGTGGAGATGAGCTCCTCCCAAGCGCTAGGAGCCTCTGACGTCCTAGAGACCCTTTAGCTTGATGCCTGCCCCACCCCCCACCCCCGGCCCATTAAAACGCAACCCCGACAACTCTTGCGAGAAGAGAGGGTTCGATTCAAGAACTTGTGAGAGTGCGCCCACTGGATGTCGTCCAGCCTCCAAGTAGAAAGGAATTAAATACCCGGTGCACATTGCTGGGGAGCTCTTTCAAAATACCAGCGTTGGGGCTCCATTCCCAGAGAGTCTGATCTCATCGTCTAGGGGGGAGCCCGGCGCAGGTGTTAAAAACCTCCCCGGGAGGATTCTAACGCGCAAAGTTCAGCGACCCTTAGACTTTTCCAGCTGCTATTGCATCGCAGAACTGTGCCACTGGCTCCTTACCGCCCTCTGCTGGCTGAAAGCACATTACCCAACAGGCATCCGGACCAAAATTCTCGTCTCTTTTCTTGAGGTAGTGCGCCTGCGCCCTGGTTGGGCTTGCTTGCTTCCTCCTCTCCTCTTATTCCAGTTCCAGGCTCATCGCAGCAGGAAAACGTTGGAGCTGGGAGAGCATCCGTCCTCCCCAAAGACACAAAGGAACTTTCAGGTTTACACGGCAAAAAATTGAATGGCAGAGGCCAGAACCCCCATCTCCCTGATTTGTTGGAATGAACTAACAGTATCTCATATTTTACTTCACCCCATCACGCCAGGGCCTACAGTAGGTACCAGATAATACATATGTGTGGCTATTTCCAATACGTGAAATGACAAGTAGTAGTCAATAGAACTACGTACGAGGCTACTCATTGAAGTTTCCATCTCTTTCCAGCACCTGGTGGATTGGCACTTCTCTGACCCACTTGAAACATGCAGAGTACTTGTTACCTTTCCATCAGCTTAAAAAGCTAGTAAATCATCATATTCCTGTCTGCCAAGTGCCCTGACTATGGAAATGAGGCCATCAACAGGTGACCTAGGTCTCAGTATCCAAGATGAGCAGACCCCCTGCAGACCCACACTAGAACTCGTAGTAAAGGAGAAAAATACATACATTAACCTTACTGAGATTTAGTGGGGGCAGCATTACCTAGCCTATCCTGGTTGGTGTATGATTACCTGGATTGTGTCCCCTGGTTTCCTCATTTGTCATAAACTCAGCTTCTCCATGTCTGTCTTTTCTGAAATACAGACACAATACCAAAGACACATGCTCAAATTTTCCATCTTAAAAAATAAAATTTTTGAAGGGGCGTCCGGGTGGCTCAGTAGGTTAAGCGGCCAACTTCGGCTCAGGTCATGATCTCACAGTGCATGGGTTCGAGCTGACAGCTCAGAGCCTGGAGCCTGCTTTGGATTCCCTGTCTCCCCTCTCTCTCTGCCCCTCCCTCGCTTCCACTCTCTCCCTCAAAAATAAATATTCAAAAAAAATTTTTTTAATAAAATCTTTGAGAGAAGCATTCTCTAGCCACCTCTCCTTCCCTTTTCTACAAGACACCCAAGTTTCTTGAAAGAGCAGATTAACCAATGCTCTTCGAGTGTTTTCTTGGACACTTCTTGTAAGTTTCAGGCAAAAAACATGCAATGGTTACCAGTAAAGGGGTAGGGGTGGAAGTAGTGAGCCCTAGATATAAAGACACACGAACAAGACTCATTTTCTGTCAGAGAGTCTGGCATCAGTGTTAAATTCAAACGAATGTGTTCATCCACATTCCTGTGACGCCGGGAAAGGACAAGTTCCTGAAATCTGTGCACTGTATGAAGTGGCCATATGACTGCCATCAACATCTACCAGGGCTGGGCTTTGATCTGACGGGATTCCTTCAGGGACAAAGTATATTTTGTCAGGGGAAGGAGAAGTCATTAAATGTACATCATCCTTAGTTCTACACCACTTTAAATGAATTCAAAATATCCAAACATAAGCCAAAACACCCTATTTTAATATTCATTCTTACACTTATTTATTGAGGAATAAACAATTTCATTGAACTCAGACCAGGAGTCCACGGGTCTCGAGGGCTTCTGTGTGTTTGTCAGTCTTCTTCACGTTGTTTTTGGCCTGTTTCTTTAGCCGCAGGAGATGCTTTTTCTTCCAGTAATGGATCTTGGCTTCTCCTTCCTCTTCTCCCCCAGCGTGGCTTTTACAGCCTGGTGCTTCAGCCGACCTCGTGAGCCAGGCGCCCAGGTAAGCAAGCTTCCGTGTAGGCTTCAGATACACTAGCTTGAGGCCAGCAGGAACCACCATCCCCGTTTTCTTGTCATAGGGTGGCAGGATGCCATCTACCACACAGAGGCGGTCGGGGGCAGCCTGGCTCCCAGCGCGCCGCACACTGTCCTCCCGTGCGGCTGGGTTCTGGGGACGGCCACGGATCAGTTGGTGTTCAGCTGCTGGTGGAGGAAAGCCAAGTACTTAACTTGTTTTCGTAGAAATTTCCAGATGTGCTGATGCCCTCATAGAACACTACAGCCTTCCAGGCCAGCAGCACCTGGTTAGCCACAGCGGCCTCCAGGTGGCCCAGGAGATGGCCCCGGCCACTGAGCAGCAGGACCCGCCCCTCCTCCATCTTCAGCAGCCGCCTGGGGAAAACGCCCCATTTTTAATGCCAACCTTTGTCACCAACAAAAATCTGCAAAAAACAAAAAAAGTTGTAAACCCTGACCTCAATACCTTAAGAAGCCTTTACTGGCACTGTTAAGAGAATGGGGAAAAACCATTAACAGATTGGGAGAAAATATTTGCACATCCCATGTTTGTCAAAGGACTAGTATCTAGAAAGTATAGAGAACTCTTGGGGTGCCTGGGTGGCTCATTCATTTGAGCATTCGACTCTTGATTTCAGCTCAGGTCATGATCCCAGAGTTGTGGGGTCAAGCTGCACCATGGGCTTCACACTGGGCATGGAGTCTGCGTAACATTTTCTCTCTCTCTGCCCCTTCCCTGCTCACATGCACACTGTCTGAAATAAAATTTAAAATTTAATTGGGGCGCCTGGTTGGCTTAGTCGGTTAAGCATCTGACTTTCACTTAGGTCATGATCTCGCGGTTCGTGGGTTCGAGCCCCGCGTCGGGCTCTGTGCTGACTGCCACCTCAGAGCCTGGAGCCTATTTCAAAAAAAAGTCTGTATCTCCCTCTCTCTCTGACCCTCCCCTGCTCATGCTGTCTCTCTCTCTCTCCCCTAGAAATAAATAAAAATATAAAAAATAAAATAAAATAAAATTTAAAACAGGGGTGCCTGTGTGGTTCAGTCAGTTAAGCATCCGACTTCGGCTCAGGTCACGATCTCACGGTTCGTGGGTTCGAGCCCCGCGTCGGGCTCTGTGCTGACAGCTCAGAGCATGGAGCCTGTTTCGGATTCTGTGTCTCCCTCTCTCTCTGCCCCTCCCCTGCTCACGCTGTCTCACTCTCTCTCTCAGAAATAAATAAAACATTAAAAAAATTTTTTTAAATTAAAACAAAAAAGAATTCTCAAAACTAATAAACAAATGATACAATTTTAAAAAATGAGATATGGGGGTGCCCAGGTGGGTGGCTTAGTCAGTTAAGTGTCAGACTTTGGCTCAGATCATGATCTCATAGTTCATGAGTTCAAGCCTCACACCAGGCTCTCTGCCGTCAGCACAGACCCGCTTGGGGTCCTCTGTCTCCCTTCTCTCTTTCTCGGTCTCAAAAATAAACAAACATTTTTGAAAAATGAGACACAGGCACAGTCACTTCTCCAAAGATGTAAAGTTGGCAGACAGGCACATGAAAAGATGTTCAGCATCATCAGCCACTAGGGAAATGCAAATAAAAACCACAGAGGTAAAACTACATATCTATTAAAACCATTAAAATTAAGAATACTGACAATACCAAGTGCTGGTGAAGATACAGAATAACTGGAAGTCTCCGCCTGGTTCTGTGGCACAATAGAGCATTGGACTTCGAGGCAGAGTAACTAGAACTCTCATACACTGCTACTAGAAATGTGAAATGGTCCAGCCCCTCTGGAAAACAGTCTGACAGTCTGTTATAAAGTTAAACGTACATCTACCATGTGACCTGTTTCACTTCTGTCTATTGTCGTGTGTATCAATAATTCGCTCCTTTTTGTTGCTGAGTACGATTCCACTGGGTAAACAAACTGTGGTGTATCCATCCGATGCAATACTACTCAGCAACAACAGGGAAAGAATTGCTGATACACGTGATAACTTGGATGAGTCTCACAGACATTTTACTGAGTGAAAGAAGCCAGGCTCAAAAATTGCATATTGGATGATGCCTTTTATATGACATCCTTGAAAATATAAATCTGGACTGATGACAAACTGAGCAGTGGTTGCTGGGTGGCAAGGGAAGGGTGTGTCTATAAAGAGGTACACTAGGGAGTTTTTAAGGTGATGTAACCATCCTTTATTCTGAATGTGGTGGTATGAATCCATATATATATACCAACATTTATAAAACAATACAAAACACAAGTCAATGTAAAAGAATGTAAAAAAAAAAAAAAAAGGCTTGTCACTATTTCAAATGATTTATCTGGCATTCCAATGATTTTAATGCCTTAAAGCAGTGTACTCTAGTAAGGTGGGTAAGAGGTATGGTTTTCTTTTCTGGACAGGAGAAGGATGTTTAGGGAAGCGGAGGTGGCGGGGCGCCTGAGTGGCTCAGTTGGTTAAGCATCCGACTTTGGTTCAGGGCATGATCTCGCCGTTCCTGAGTTTGAGCCCTACATCGGGCTCTGTGCTGACAGCTCAGAGCCTGGAGCCTGTTTTGGATTCTGTCTCCCTCTCTGTCTCTGCCCTGTCCCCACTTGTGCTCTGTCTCTCTCTCAAAAATAAAAAACATTTAAAAAGTTAAAAAAAAAAAAAAAAAAAAAGGAAAGATGAGGTGGGAAGTAGAGCTGGGGTGCGGACCCACAATTACCATGACTGTGATGCTTGTGATTAAAGCCCTGGACTCCCAGTTGGTCTCTCTGCTTCCTACTCATATGCTACACTGTGTTGTTTTCCTCAATTTCAAGTCTAATCATGTGACTTTCTTTCTTAATGCCAAGTAGCTTTGTTTACTGCCTGTGTACTTCTTACTTCCTCTCTAGACAGAGCTCACGGGTAGCTTAAAAAAAAAAGGGGGGGGGGCAGATGAGTAGAGCGACCCTTAATATACCACCCAGCAGGTATTGAAACAGACATTTTCAAGGTGAGTTAGGAGCCAGAAGAGGGAGCACCCACATCGTATCTGGCCTGTCAGGAAGCCTCAGGAAAGACACTCCAATAACTCTGCTTGCCCTCTGCGGGATCCAGAGGAAACCCCCATAAAAAGTAGACAACAAGACCCTCCCAACCCTCTGGGTCTCCACCAAAATGAAGAGAGAACAGTAAGTATCTTTTTGCACATCACTTTAAGGACAAAGAATCACAGAGCAGGGACTTCGGGGATCTATTTCCCTAACATTTCAGCCTTTCCACATTTCTTTCAGTTCCTCTTTCGCATCTAAGGGCCTTTGAAGATTTTCTTCCCTCCGATGAGCGTTTTCCTCACCCTCTTCCCTTCGACTAACCTCTAAATACCTTCAAGGTTTCAACTTAACATTACTTTCTGAATGTTTGGAGAAAATGGAGGCTCTCCTCTCCCCCTTGTTGAGAGTAACCCTATGTTGCCTGCTCCCACAGCAGCCTGTACTGTCCTTTCTGAGCACGCATGCCATTGTCCCCCCTGTGTACGAGCTGCCTTCCAGCAGCCTGTAACGTGTGACAGCAAGTACCATCTGCCCTGTGCCCAGGGCCTGGCACAGAACCCGGCACTGGGGAGCTGCTCAGAAGGACGTGTCGCTTCCATTGCATTTCAGTAGTCAGTCCAACTTCCTCATTTGAAAGCGAAAAACCAAGGCACGTAGGTAGGAAAGTGAGTTGTCCAGCAATCTCAAGTTCATGGCCAGGCCAGAGCAGGCATGCAGATTGGATGGCGGTCTGTCTGCCCTGGGGTCCAGTGGAGTTCTCCTTGGCTTCCTTCTTTCCTCCCAAAGCAGGACAAAAATCAATTCAGACATTGTTTTTCTTTTATTATCATTATCTGGGTTTTCATTTCTTCTAAAATGTGCACAAAGATGGGACTTTTCCAAGGACATTTTTGATTCATGAAAAACATGCTATTGAAGGGTGAGAAGTGGATGTTCCCTTTAAAAATTTTCCCCACTTCCCACTTTTAAGTTTGAACATTTTTGAATCTCTAGAAAATTTGCACAAAGAGGACAATAAAGACTCATCAGGATTCGTCAGCTGCTAACATGTTCACAGTGGCTCGCTTTCTCTAGCTCTCTCCCTGTATATATATTTCCTGTCTTCTGTATGTGTACATAGACTATATATATATGTATATATTCTCTAGATATACATGTACACATATACTTAGTCTTTGCTGAACCATTTCAGAGTCAGGTATAGACTAAAAATTATTATACTTTACCCCTGAACACTTCAGCACGTATCCATTAAGAACAAGAGCAATCTCCTACAGAAATACAACATAATTATCAGGCTTACAACACTCGGCTAGCATAGATCCAGACTCAAACGTCCCCAGTTATCTCCACTATGTCCTTGATAGCTGCTTTGAAAGAATCCAGGAACCAGGGGCGCCTGGCTGGCTCAGTCAGAAGAGTGTGAGACTCTTGATCTCGAGGTTGTAAGTTCGAGCCTCACATTGGGTGTAGAGATTACTTAAAAATAAAAATCTTTAAAAAGATAAGTAAATCATAAAAACCCAGGATCCAATCAAGAATCACAAATTGCACTTTCTTGCTTCCTTAGTCTTTTCGAATCTAACACATTCCTTACTACATTATCTTTCATGATACGAACACTTTTGAAAGGTCCAGTCCAGTTGTTTTAGAATGTCCCTAATGTGAATTTGTCTGATCAGTTCCTCATGGTTCCATCCAGATTAAACTTTTTTTCTCTCTGAGCAAGAATGCCACTTGCGTGACACGGTGGGTGGCTTTCCACTGCAGTGCCTTCATTTCAGATGTCCTGGGCCTTGAGGACATGTGCCAGATCCCCAAAGCCCCCAGGGCTGGGCAGTGGGAAGGCCCAGGGAGCCAACAGGTAAAGGTCAAAGCTTCAGTCTTGGGCAGAGTTCATGGCCAGCGATGGCTGTTGACTATGGGGCCCTCCAGCTGGGCAACCAAGGCCAAGGTAAGAACATGTCCTTCCCACCACAAGCTCCAGGTGACCAGTGGCCAGCTCCTCAGCTAATGGGTCACCTGTAGCCGTGGCCACCCTCTGTTGATGCAGCTGCCAGAGGAACAAGAAGAGAGTGCAGGTGATAACCACGGCAATGCAGTCCTGCCGGAGAGCAGGGACAGCGAGGGGACAGGGGCACAATGACAGAGAACCGGAACGCAAAACCGACCGAAAGGGTGCAAGGCAGAGGGGACACACACACATCAGAGGAGATAAAAGCAGAGAGTGAGACACAGAAATATCAAGACTCAGACACACAGGCCCACAGGGAAAAGAAAGCACCAGCTGATGCCCTTCACTAACAACTTCCAAGTATGTTTCTCAGGTTCTTGGCTTTAAGATTTTGGAAAGTGAAGGGGCACCTGGGTGGCTCAGTCAGTTAAGAGACAGACTTCTGGACTTGGGCTCAGGTCATGAACTCACAGTTCATGGGTTTGAGCCCTGCTTTGGGCTCTGTGCTGACAGCTTAAGAGCCTAGAGCCTGCTTCAGATTCTGTGTGTGTCTCTCTCTCCCTCTCTCTCTCTCTCTCTCTCTGCCCCTCCCTCCCCTGCTTGTGCATGCTCTCTGCCTCTGTCTCAAAAATAAAAAATAAACATTAAAAAAAAAGATTTTGGAAAATGAAAAGAGTATTTTATAGTGGTCAGACTCAAAGGGCACGAGGGTTTCTCCCAAGGGCCCATGAGGGGTCACCCACTCACTCATTCTGTACTTTTCCAAACACAGAAGTTCTCTCTGGTGCCCCTAAACCAGGCTCTGGGCCAGAAGTTTCCTGCCCTGGCTCAGAATGTCTTCCCGTTTTTCACAGGGCTTGTCAGCACAAAGAAACCTACTTGTAGCACATCTGGGGTGAAGAAGGGGGGAGAAGCAGACAGAAGGGAGGATCCAGAGAAAAGACGGCCACTAAAAATAGCCTTCCGTCTGTGAGGAGGGAGGAACCTACCACCCAGGGAGCTGCCCAGTGGGTGTGACCTTAGCTAATAATAATAGGCCAGGGTTTTCTCATGGGGAGAGGGACTAGAAGGTGGGGGGGAGGGGAGGGAAGCTGCTGGCTCCTGGACTCAACGGTTCTGGGATAGGGCTCCCCACAGAGGAGCTCTGCATGGTCAGAGAGGGCTTTCTGACAATAATGTGCACTGTCTGTACTTTTCTTTGGGAAAAGAAAAGAAGAAAATGGAAAAAGCCAGGACCTCAGCTTCATGGCTCATGGCTAAACACCATGAGGCCCCTTTCCACCCCCTGCCCTTGGCCAACAGAACCAACCCCAGGCGGTGCGTCTTACTGAGGAAGTTGAGGGGCGTCAAGGGGCGGGAGAGGACATCCTGAAAACTCTCCAGCCATTCCCGCTGCTCCTTCTCGCTGGGGCAGGTGAAGATGAACCTCCGCTCGGGGGTGACGATGGTGAGGCCGGCTTTCCAGCGGTTCCCTCGGATACCCTTGGGCAGGTCTTCATAGACATCGTACCCCTGCTCGCTGCTCCCAAGAAAAACCTGGCCCTGCTCAAAGGCGTCCTAGAAATAGAAGACACGTGGTCATCGGAGGCCACGCCTGGGGCAGAGGGACACCTGCAGCCATGACATCCCCAGGCTGTGTTTTATGTGCGTGTCAGGGGTCTCTGGCTGCAGGGAATTTGAAAGAGTAAAGAAACCACAATATGAATCACACATGTGACCTGTTAAAAAATACTTACTATTTATGGACAGCTTATATGTCCCAAGAATTCAAGGGTTTACCTTAAGTAATTCCTATAATCCTCATGGCAACCTCTGAGGAAGGCTTATTTTCCAGAGGAAGAAACAGGCACAGAGAGTTAAGTGCTCTGCCCAAGGCATACCACTAAGAGGCAGGCCTGAAAGTTCTAAGAAGCCCGCAGTCCTACCACTGGCCTCCTGGTGATAAGTGAGCCCTGGAGGCTGGAGGACAAGAAACGGCCAGCCCAGCTGTTTAACTACACTGGCAGCATTTAGGATACGCGGACTTCCTGCAAGGTGCGAGAGAATAGCTCCCCTCACAGGGGATGACTTAAGAGGCAAGCAAAGGAGGAGGTGTGTCACTCGCCAGGTTTCCCCAGCCCTGTGGCTTCCCCATGGCCCCCCGCTAGGACTGACCCCCTCCTGTCTGGGGGTGCACTGGAGAGGGGCCAGCAGTGGCTCTTACCAGTGGGTTCTTGTAATAGAGCAGCCTCCGCTCCTGGGGATCCAGGGCGAACCACCTTTTCTTGAAAGGTTCTCTCTGCTGCAAAAGAGGGAGCCTCATACCAGGGTCAGCCAAGCAGTGGTAGGGGACGGGGCGGGGGGGGGGGAGCACAGAGGTCAGAGAGCCAGCCTGGACTACACCTTGGGAGCCAGCCAGTCCCTTCCAGACACCCCAGGGCTCCTCCCTGAGGCTCTGCCCACCCTCTGAACCCCCTGCCGGCTACCCCCTGTGCCTCTGGGTGCTACCGTGGGTAGGAAGAGGTGCCCTCCACTTTCTCAGGTGGCGGACAAGAAGTCTCAGAAAAAGGAACCTGGGGAAATCAGTAGCCGCTCCTCAGCAAGGCCGAAAGCGCTGGCCTTGGCGGAATTGTAACCGAGGTCAGGGGAAAGAAAGCCCCTGGCAAGAACCTCTGCGGACTGGCTGTGCCATTGGCTGGTGAAGGCAGAAAACAAAACGTGCAACCCTTCTTCTCCTTTCTAAGCTGCCTGGGGGCCTTCTTTCAGGCTGACTGCCCAACTCCTTCCACCGCAGTCTTGACAACCATCTTGTCAACACACTACACCTTTAAAACATAAAGCACTGAATTGCTGCTGCTTTGGGGATTTTGTTTTATTTTTTTAGGAGGCTCCCTCTGCTTTCCCTTCTCCCCCTTCTCCCTCTTTCAACCACCAGAACCCTCACCAGCCAGACTTCTGGCCTGAGACGCCCTCACCGCAGGACTCCTGGGGAGGCCCAGGAGTGGCCAGGCTTCCCTTCCTTCAGAGGAGTGCAGATGAGCAGCGCTGGGAGCCCGTGGCACGTTTAGGGAAGGAGAGCAGAGGCTGACTTGGAGGGAGGGTGTGTGTGCTGGGGAGAGTGCCTGCAGAGGTATGTTTTCTCAGACCAATCACAAGCCCCTGTCTCCCTCGGATGGTCCTGGTGGACCCCCCAGCACAAGGCACCCAAGGGTTCTGGAAAGTGCAAAAGCTGTCCTCCAAAGAGTCCCTTTTCAGTTCTGCTGCCCCAGGCACTGGCTCCATTAGAAGGAGTTAAGGGGAAGGAAGCTGCTGGTGATGCTGACAAAGGAGGAGGCCAGGAGGCGAGCCGGCAGGTGCTGCACCACACACCTGTCTTCATTTGGTCTTTTGCCCCCAAGCACTCACAAACATTGGGTTACTTCCCTTTCTCTTCCCGCCCCCCGGGGCCCCACTTTCCTACTTCCCAAATTCTGAACTACCGCCTGCTGGAAACAGGGCCCTGTGAATCGCACAGAGAGCGGTGAGATGTACCTTTGGACCCGTCTTTTCCATGAAGCCCTGTTTGAGGTAGTTCCTGGTGATGAGGGGCACGAGCTGGGGGAAGAGAGACATACAGTGACCCCCCGACTCACATGCCAGGGGTTCAAGGCTCCCCAACAAAGGGGAAGTTTGGAATGGGGAAGGATGTGTGCTCATGGTTCACGGGGTTATATTTGGAACGTGGGATGCATGCAATATTAATATTTCAACAGAGGCAGACGACAGCATCTCAGATGTTTGCAGCACTTACCAGCAGAGTCGAATTTCGGTGTAAGGACCTAGTCTAAGGATCCCTTCAGTATCCCCAAGAGGTAGACATCGGCAAGGCTCCGAGGAGACCCTCCTGGTGCCATCAGGGGACATACTCTGAGGGTCTACTCTGTGTCAGGCTCTGGATGAACTTCTCAACCACCCTGCGAGGTGGGTACGTTCATCTTCGTTGGACGTCTGAACAAACCAGGCCCCAGCGAAGTGGTGGGGATTTTCCCTAAATCATGCCACTGGCGGGTGGGAAAGTTGGGATTCACACCAAGGTCTGCAGACACTAGAAGGACACTAATGGTGCTCCTACCACTTCACCATGACACTAAGTATTCTCATGCCAGAGCCCTCTGACCAGGCCCCTGGCCGAGACCTGGTCCTTGACAGGGATTCTGACGCAGGCCCACAGGAGATGGTAGCAGAATAGGCAAGTAGAGAAAGCTCTGGACTAGGAGCTGGGAGACCTGGGTTCTAGCTGCAGTTCTGATCTTGACAAGCTGTACAATCTGGGTAAGACCTTGTCCTTCTCTGGGCCCATTTCCCTCTGCATAATGAGGAGACTGGATTGTATAATCTCCAGGAGCCCTTCCAGCTTGCCAACTGATACCTAGAGAAGTTTCCAGGAATGAACGCTGGCCCCCTATACCCTAGCGGCTCAATCTGGCAAGTCTAGAGCTTCCTAGGACAGCCGAGGCTTCCCAGAGCAAAGGGTTGTTCTCCAGAGCTCCAGAGCTCAGGACAGGGCAAAGGGGAAGTGAAGGCTGGGACGTCTGAAGGGAAGAAAATGGTGAAAAAATAAACCATGCCACTCTCTTCTCCCTAAACTACATTCTGCAGGCTTTAGTTCCTTCATTTGGGATAAAAAGTGCCAAGCTGCTTGATAGTGTGAACCTGGGCCAGGGCAAGGCTCGGCTAGGCCCAGGGAAACAACTGGAAGAAGGAAGATCACATGGATGGAGCGCTCCTTGCTGAACCTCAAAAGCCTTGGCTCACTCGAGTCTCACAACAGCCTTGGAAAGTAGGCGCTGTCCCCATGGTGACAAGAGGAGGAACCCAAGGCTCAGAGAGGGGAGGCGACGTGACTCGAGGGGCCACGCGTTTCTTAGTCTAGGACCACATTCCACACTGGAACTCCTCGGCTGTCTGGCCTCTGCATCCCTAAGCTCGAGGCAGGTCCAGGCGGTTGCCCAGAACCTCACACCACACCTGGACACGGGGTGGGGAAAGGCAACAGAGAGATGAGCGTGGGGAGGAGAGCAGCGGTGGGCGAGGGGAGGCTAGAGGACATTGAGGAGTTGGCCCAAGACCGAGTCCCTCTGCAGGGGTCAGCAAAATTATAGCACCAGGCCAGTGACTCAGGCTGAGAGTCTGCACTCTGTCCTCCAAGATCCCCAGTCAGCAGGGAGCACCCACAATGGCCTCCCGTTCTGGGTGCTGACTCTGCAGACCCAGAGGCTCTTGCCCCAGGCTTGGCTGGAGTCACTCCCAGGGAGCTGCTATTTTGGTGCATTGCCCAGCCTGGAGTGGACACCCATTTCCAAACTTAGCCCCCTGCAAACCTTGGAATGAAGGAGAATTGAGGCTTTCAAGGGGGGGTGGTCTAACAGTTTGGAACAAGAAAATCCCAGGGCAGGGGGGCGCCTGGGTGGTTCAGTCAGTTGAGCATCCAACTCTTGATTTCGGCTCAGGTCATGATCTCATGGTTTGTGAGTTCGAGCCTCACGTCATGCTCTGTGCTGACAGTGCAGAGCCTGCTTGGGATTTTTCTCTATCTCTATCTTTCTCTCTCTCCCTCTCTCTCTCTCTCAAAAAAAAAAAAAAATCCAGGATTAATATGGTGCCTGCACCCCCATAACTTACAAAGTCCTCTAAGAGCAGGGCCTAAAGCAGACACCAGACCATAGGACCTCAGAGCTGGAAGGGACCCTGAAGATGACCCAGACCCACCGCATCTTACAGATGTGGGAACCGATGCACGGAGAAGTGGCATGACCAGCAGCAGGCAAACAGCAAGTTAGCGACAGGGCACCTGTGAGAACCCAAGGTGGCATCATCTGCCCCACACACCTGAGAGTCAGACACCCCACATGTCTGAGGACAACCAAACTGAAGTTCTCAGGGTCACCGTTACCTTGGCCCCAGAAGGCAGACTGTTCCTGTCAGAACGGTAATGGAGAAGATCCCATCACCTTCCCAAGACCAGAACACAAAGGGGCCAAGGAGGACACTCGAGTGGGAAGAGCACCTTTGGGTATTGACTATGACCTTCCTGGGACTTGGTTTCTCTTCAATAAAATGGGAATGATCACCCCACCTAACTGCCCGATGCAAGGGATTACTAGATAAAAGGGGCTCAAAGCACTTTGTAAACAGTACATTAAGGATCATTTGCACATTTCAGTGGGAGAAGGAGTCAGAAAGAGAGGCCCAAATCCCAAGCCCCTTGACACTGGGGACAGTGGCTATGCGTCCCTGAGAGAGAGTCTGATCTTGCCACGTGTGAGGCTATAACTCCCTGAAGAAAGCCTTTGGTTTCCGTCTGAGTTTCCACCCTCACATCTCAAGGTCTTGTCCACAAAGCTAGCCTAGCCTCTGAGTATTTTGAGGGGTCAGCAGACAAGAAGCAGAGGTGGCAGGGGGGAGACTCAGAAGGTGGGGTCCACATTTAGCTCACCTCAGACTCTGGGAGCTCAGGAAAGGCCATTTTCAGGTATTGCAGACGGGCTGCTCGGAGGGCATTGAACCAGTCCACTATCTCCTGCAGAGAAAATGGGGACAGACAGCCTGTGAGACAGAGTAGTGGGGGGTGGAGTCTGCTGGCAGGGAGCCCGCGGGTCTTCCATTCAGCACATGCACACCCCTCAGTTCTGCTCAGCGCCCGCCTGTGTGCTGATCACAGAGCCTGGGGACTCCCCTGAGCAGGTGGGAAGCCACTGACAGGGAGCCGTCCAGAGCCCTAGGGAAGGAGGAAGGTGAAGTGCGCTAGAGTTGGCAATGGCCTAATATGCTAAGAACCACCTGACAATCTCTTTAAAGTGCAGATTGGGATGGCGGCGGGGGGGGGGGGGGGGGGGGGGGGGGGGGGGGGGGGGGGGGGGGGGGGGGGGGGGGGTGGGGGCTGAGATCCTGCATTCCTAACAAGCTCTCTGGTGATGTGGCACTGGCTGGCCAGTGGGACATCACTGGGGGAGCAAGTGTCCTCAGATGTCAAAGATGGGCCGTCAAGTGGGGGCAGGTGCACCTGGGGATTCTCCTCCAATAGAAATGCTCATGGCCTGACGCGCAGCTCGGGGCCAAGCTGGCCTGGACTTTTGCACGCCGCCGGGGAACGCACCCTCAGCGGTGTGGGTCACCCATCTAGCGGGCTCTGCCTTGGCTTTGCTGCTCTGCAACGGGTCCTCCCCACAGCAGCCAGAGCGATTTTCTCACTGCAAATGTAACCGAGCCCAGCGTAGAGCCCCCTCTACCCTCAGGAGAAAAATCTAAGTATGACGACTTTGCCCTCTGAGCTCCCTCCATACAAAACCATCTGCCATCCTCCCCGCACATTCCGCCCGGCAACCCCTCCTCCCTCACCCCACACAGAGCTTCGGCACACCCCCAAGTTTAGTGTAGTTGTTATAGTGGCTTTCTGCTGAGCCCAAGCCCTGCTTCTATGAGAACCACCCCCACCTGTTCTCACCCACTCACTGCTCACCCACAAATGCAACCACATTTGCTGCTTGGAGCTGCCCCTTCTTGGCCACAGCAACTGGGCCAGGGCTGGGCCCATGTAGAGGCTAAGCGGGGCGTACCAGTTTCCTTCTCCCAAGAATTTGGAATGGGGGAACCAAAAGATTGTTCAAATAGTTGCAGTGAGGCACCTTGATATAATACGGTGATTTGAGAAATTCATTTGACTATGGTTTCCCAAGAATGCAACGTAATTACCATTTCTGTCTCGCCAGCCAGGCACGTTGGCCTAGGGTTCGGAAATAGTATTCCAGAGGCCAAGCTCTCTTGTCCCGGGAGCTAACCACCTTCTCAGCTCCCGGGCACTGAAGGCACGGGGGCGTCCCAGAAAAGACTCACCCAGACCTTCACTTTGGCCGCTAACTGGAGATCGTGGGGCCAAATCCAACCTGCATACATGTTTGTTTGGTTCCTGAAGCTTTGTTTGTGTCAATCCTCTATACAGGTTTTCCTGCTTTACAGCCTTCTAGCCGTCCACTTTTCTTTTAGTTTATTTCTTTATTTTGAGACAAAGAGAGAGCGAGTGTGCAAGCAGGGGAGGGACACAGAGAGAGAGAGAGAGAGAGAGAGAGAGAGATGCAAAATCCGAAGCAGGCTCCAGGCTCCAAGCTGTCAGCGCAAAGCCTCACGAGGGGCTCAATCTCACAAACCATGAGATCATGACCTGAGCTGGAATCAAGAGTCCGATGCTTAGTGGACTGAGCCCCCCAGGCGCCCCGTCCACCTCACTTTTAAATTACCTACTGGCTCCTGCAGGCAGCTTCTATTTCCGTGTCTCTAACAGAGAAACCGTGGCACTGAAGGAAAGAGATGGCCAGATGCCAGCTGTCAGATGCTCTAACCGCGCAAATGGGAGGGGCCAGATACTGTAAGTATCACAGACCTTGGACACCTCAGCAAGAGCCCTCACACAGTGACTGGCACAGCGGGGTGGCCCCTGGCATCCAATGCGGACATGGGGCAACAGCAGAGAGCCCCCCAGGGACCAAGAACCAGGGCTCTCCTCCATGTCTCCCAGTCCCAAGAGTCTGGTAAAACCAAGGGAGGAAGTCAAGAAAGAGGGCTGATCTTAGATTTCTTGCCACTTTGGAGAATGGGGGTCCTTGAATTTAAATGTTTATTTATTTTTATTTTTGAGAGAGAGAGAGAGAGTGCAAGCAGGGGAGGGGCAGAGGGCAAAGGGGAAACAGAGGCTCAGAAGCGGGCCCTCTGCTGCCAGCACAGAGCCCGATGCGGGGCTCGAACTCATGAGCTGTGAGATCATGACTTGAGCCAAAGTCAGACGCTTAACCAACTGAGCCACCCAGGTGCCCTTGAGGGTCCCTGAATTTAGAGAAATAAATAAGCACAACATTTACTTGCACCTCTGGTGTTATAGAACAATGTGCCGCTGTTAAGAGTGCGCTCGCTCTCTCTCTCTCTCTCTCTCACACACACACACACACACACAGTTCTTGACCCATATTTGTTGCCCTTAAAATAAACACCCCTGTCTATTTCCCACTCATGCTCCCTTTGGGCTGATTTGAGTGTCCTCTCTTTCAACACATTCCCATAACTTTTAAATAGAAACTCTTTCCTCTGGAATGCCTTTTTGACTGCCCGTCCCCCCAGACTAGGCTACTTACATGTTTCCTGTGTGACCGCAGCACAACTGACAGCCCGTCACACGGTATCGGCAGGTGCCTCTCCCCCATCTGACTCCTTCCCCAGACTGAGACCCTCGAGGCCCACCCACGGCTCTGTCCTGCTCACCACCACACTCTCTAGGCCTACAGCAGTGCTCTGTACGCTGCAGAGGCCCAATAAGGATCCACTGAGAGCGCACTCATGAATGAACAAGTGATAGAGATGTGAAATTGCCCGTAAGATTTTTTGCCTTTTACATCTGCGACCATCATGAGCAAATAAATAATTAGCAGCGGTTAATGTTTGAAATGCACTTCACCGTACTGAAATGCTTTCACATTCACGGTTCACGGTCACTCAACCCTCAAAACCCCTCTGAGAGGCGGGTGTTCTGATCTACACATAAGCAGATGGAGGGGGGAGGGGGCGTGCCCCAGTAACACAGTCCAGAGTGGAAGACCCAGGGCTCCAGTTTCTGATCCCGAACCCCTATTCCTCAGACTACACCACTGGGAACTCTGCGCAGACGCTGAAGACAGCACTCCAGTGCTAGGGCCACTTGGGAAGATCTGGTCCCTGGGGCAGGTTCCTAGCCCCTGCTGCCAAGGACTCTCCTTCCAGCAGGGGCACGCGGGGTGGTAACTTGGGAACCAGAGTCTGGGTTAATGTGCCCAGGCCTCAGGGACACAGGGTTAAAATGTTTCCAGGGTGGTTTCGAGGACTGAGAAATGGTGAATTGCATGGGGCACCTGGGTGGCTCAGTCGGTTGAGCATCCAGCTTCGGCTCAGGTCGTGATCTCACGGTTTGTGGGTTCGAGCCTCGTGTCGGGCTGTATGCTGACAGCTAAGAGCCTGGAGCCTGCTTTGGATTCTGTGTCTCCCTCTCTCTCTGACTCTCTCTGACCCTCTGTCAGCCTGGAGCCTGCTTTGGATTCTGTGTCTCCCTCTCTCTCTGACTCTCTCTGACCCTCTGTCAGCACAGAGCCCGACACGCTTGAACCCACGAACTATGAGATCATGACCTGAGCCGAAGCCGGATGCTTAACCAACTGAGCCACCCAGGCGCCCTAACAGAGATTCCAAAGTGGGGTTTGAACTCACGAACCTTGAGATCATGACCTGAACTGAAGTTGCACACTTAAGCAACAGAGCCACCCAGGGGCTCCCTGATTTCTTAATATGCCTAAGGATCACCTAGAGATCCTGTTAAAATGTAACTTCTAATTCAGGAGGCTCAGGTGGGCTGAGACTCTAATCTAGCAAGCTCCCCAGTGATGCCATGCTTTTCGTATAGGACCACCTGCCGAGAAGCAAGGCCCCAGAATTCACTGCCACCAGATCCTCCATCCATTCCTGCCCCGCCTGGATCCATCATCTCTGGGCATAGTCCCTCCTACTAACCAGACTCCCCTGAGTGGCTGTGCACTGTCCAGACACAGCCACCATACCTGCCGGGTGTCTCTCCTTAATCTTGTTTGCCTTCCTCATACAGCCATTTTAGACCGGAACGTGACAACAGGCGAAGGCAAACGGCAGCAGCAAATCCCAAGGGGCAGCTGAGCCAGGGCGCTGGCGGGTCGGGCCTGCAGGGTCCTGGGGTGCGGGCTGGAGGCTGCTGTAGCAACACGGGTCAGCTCACCTTCCCACTTTCGTGGTACACGAACAGGTTCCTGATGCGGCCCTCTCTCCTGTAGGTGATCTGCAGCCCGTGGGGGTTCCCTATCTTCTCTGTCTCGAAAGTGGCATTCAAGTCTTTGATGCTGATGACAGCTTTGGGGCCTTTACCCTGAAAGAGAGGAAGCAGGTGACATCTCACCACCTTCACCAAGGCCTTAATGCCAACAGATGACCTATCTGTAACCTTTCATGGCTTTTCTATGTTCTTTCTCTAATAGCAAGGCGCACAGAGGTTCCGCTGCTACCCTGCATTTCGGTCATGCCACCGTTCCTACTTACTCAGACTGGCTTTGCCGAGCTGGAAAGGGGCTTAGACAGGTATGAACTTAGGACTCGTCAGGCTTTTTAGCCACAGATTTTTTTCTGAAGCAATTCCTCTATGGAAGCCAGACCAATAAAACAGATAAACAGATGAAAGCAGGTGTGGGGGTGTCTTGGGGAGCTCCCTCCCATGCTCCACTGTGTTGCCAGGGTCTGGAACACAGGTTAAGCAAGGAAGTGAAAAGGGTGCTTTTCTTCGTAATTGACGAGAAAGGAAAATGACACTTTAGACCTGTGCCAGCCATTAACCGTATGTGGCTATTTAAATTAAAATTAAATAAAAATAAAACTTCAGTTCCTTATGCCTAGCCCCCTTTCAAGTGCTCAAGTAGCCACATGTGGCTGGTGGCGAGGTATTGGACAGGGCAGACACAGAACGTTTCTGTCACTGAACATTGTTCTATTTACTGGATAATCTTCTTTAGAGGGAAATTTGGTCGTATTTGCTAAAACGTTCAGTATTTTGCCTTGAGTCGCAGTTTCACATCTAAGAATCTATCCCAAGGTAGTAATCGCATTACTGTGCAAACATGTATGCCAAAAGATGTTTGTTGCTGTGCTTTTAAAACAATAGTAGTAGTGGTAGTTGTGGTGGCGGTGGTGATGGTGGCGGGGGAAGAGGAAGAGGAGGAAGGAGAAGAAGAAGAAGAAAACTATTATTTAAATATATATATATATGAGGGAGGGGGCGCCTCCCGAGGGAGGCTCAGTCGGTTAAGCGTCCGACTTTGGCTCAGGTCACGATCTCATGGTTCATGAGTTTAAGTCCCGCGTCAGGCTCTGCACTAACAGCTCAGAGCCTGGAGTCTGCTCTGGATTCTGTTTCTCCCCTTCCCCTGCTCATGCTCTGTCTCTCAAAAATAAATAAACGTTACAAAAATGTAAATATACACAAGGGATAATGGGTAAATAAATAAATAATGGCACATTCATACAGTGAAATACAAAGAATTTTTATAGGGTAATTTGGATCAATATTTTTATATGAAAAAAGCATCCATGATATCCATGGGTGAGAAATATCAAGTCCCAGGAAACAGGATGTAGAATAGGAACCTACTAATATAAGAAATTATACATACAGACACAAAAAAGTATATGTACCTTATTTCTATACATATATATAACATATGTCAATTTGAACGTGCATAAAAATATAGACACGTTTACACCAACACTCTTAACAATGGTTTTCTTAAAAGACTACTGGAAGACTTTCCTTTTTTTTTTTTTTTTTTTTTTTTTTTTTTTTTTTTTTTTTTTTTTTTTTAATGTTTACTTATTTTTGAGAGACAGAAAGAAAGAGACAGAGCATATATAGAAACCAACTTGACAATAAACTATTTGTAAGGAAAAAAAAATCAAAGATGTAAAAAAAGAAAAAAGGTATAGGAGCAATTCCAAATAAAGTTAAAAAAAAAAGAAAGAAAGAAAGAAAGAGACAGAGCATGAGCGGGAAAGGGCAGAGAAAGAGGGAAACAGGATCTGAAGCAGGCTCCAGGCTCTGAGCTATCAGCACAGAGCCTGATGCAGGGCTCAAACTCATGAACCGTGAAATCATGACCTGAGCCTAAGTCGCACACTTAACCAACTGAACCACCCAGGCGCCCCTTCCTTTTTTTAAAGTTTATTTACTTATTTTGAGAGAGATAAAGACAGCCCTAAATGGGGAAGGGGCAGAGAGAGGGGGTGAGAGGGAGAATCCCAAGCAGGCTCTGCACTGCCAGCTCAAAGTCCCATGTGAGGCTTGAACACACTAAGCTGTGAGATCATGACCTGAGCCAAAACCAAGAGTCAGGCGTTTAACTAACTGAGCCACCCAGGTGCTCCTGGAAGACTTTCCTTTTTGAATATTTATTATTAGAAATACTAAAAGCACAAAAAAAAGAGAATCTAATTTTGTGAATAGTCTTCCTTGTTCTAAAAGAAATACAGTATTATGAATAAAGGCAAAAATCCCTTTCACCATTATTCACTCTATCCCATTCTCCCATATTCCCCCCAGGCAATCACTGTATGAGTCTGATGTTTATTCTTCTAGCTCACTTTTTATTTTTTTAAAATTTTTAATGTTTATTTATTTTTGAGAGCAGAGAGAGAGTGAGAAAGAGAAAGGCGGGGAAAGGGAAGAGAGAGAGGGAGGGAGACACAGAATTCAAAGCAGGCTCCAGGGTCAGAGCTGTCAGCACAGAGCCTGGCGCAGGGCTTGAACTTATGAACTGTGAGATCATGTCCTGAGCAGAAGTCAGACGCTCAACGGACTGAGCCACCCAGGACGCCCCTAACTTTTTATACTTTTACACACATATACCTATCTATGAACAATACACAGTATTGTTTTCTGTGGTTTTAATGTACATAAATGGCATCATACTATATGTATCATTCCAGATCTTGCTTTTATCACTCGACACTATATTTTTGAGTTCTATTCATGTTGAGATGCAGCAACCTAGTTTGCTCTTGTGAATGACCACACCAAAAGTTACCAGTCTATTTTCCTGTTCACAGATATTGAAATTACTTCTGATTTTTTGCAATCGTAAGTGATGCTACAGTCAGCTTGTGTCCTTGGCACACATATGTGAAAGTTTCTCCAGGTCACAGTATATATTTAGGAATGGAATTGTAGATCACAGGTGTACACATCTTTGACCTACTGGAAAGTACCAGATTATTCTGCTGACTGGCTCTCCATAGTGGCTGTACCAATATTTACTTCAATATAGAATACCGAACAATAGAAATGAACACCACACTCGATAACAGAGGAGTGGTCCTTTCCCTATATCCCCACCAACGCGTGACTGTAAGATTTCAATTTTTTCCCAATATGATGGCTATGAAAGTGGATATCACTGTTAATTTTCATTTAATCAGCTTTACTGGGATAGAATTTATAAATAATAAATGGCACTCATTTTAAGAATTTAGGTTGGGACGTCCAGGTGGTTCAGTCGGTTAAGCGTCCGACTTCAGCTCAGGTCATGATCTCACTGTTTGTGGGTTCGAGCCCCACGTCGGGCTCTGTGCCGACAGCTAGCTCAGAGCCTGGAGTCTGTTTCAGATTCTGTGTCTCCCTCTCTCTCTGACCCCCCCTGCTCACACTGTCTCTCTCTCTCTCTCTCGGAAAGAAATAAAACATTTAAAAAACAATTAAAAAAAAGAATTCAGGTTGATTTTTGACAAATGGATATACCCACGTAGGCACCACCACAATCAAATATAAAACATCACTATCACCCCAAGACTTCCCTCAACCCCTTGGCAGTCAATTCCCCCCACCCCAGCCCCAGACAATCATGTATCCCCTTTCTATTGACACAAAGTGGTTTTACCTGTTCTACAACTTCTTATAATGAAATTATATAGTGCACACTCCTGTATAAGGCTTCTTTTGCTCAGAATAATATCTCTTAGATTCATCTACATTGTTGCGTTTATCCGTAGTTTGTTTCTTACTGGGAGTAATATTCAGTCTATGGCTATATTACAATTTGTTCATTCGGCTGTGGATGGACATTTGGGTCCTTTCCACACTTTGGTGATGTTTTTATGCATAAAGCATCTATGAACATTTGCATCCAATTGTTTTTTATGGGCATATGTTTTTATTCCTCTTCAGTGAATACCTAGGAGTGGAATGGCTGGGTTATATGCTTATGTGTGTATCTACCTTTATTAAAAACTGCCAGATGGTTTTCACAAGTGGTTGTATCATTTCACAGTCCCATCAGGAGCGTATGGGAGTTCTGGTTCCTCCCTGTCCTTGTCAATGCATGGGGTCGTCAGCCCTCTGAATGCCAGCCATTCTGGAGAGTGTGTAGCATATATCTCATTCTGGCTTTCATGTGCATTTCCCTGACATCCAGAGAGACTGAGCATCTCTTATCTTTTTTTTTTTTTTTTAATGTTTTACTTATTTCTGAGAGAGAGAGACACACACAGCGTGAACAGGGGAGGGTCAGAGAGAAAGGGAGACACAGAATCCAAAGCAGGCTCCAGGCACTGAGCTGGCAGTCAGCACAGAGCCCGACGCTGGGCTCAAACCCACGAACCGCGAGATCATGACCCAACCCGAAGTTGGATGCCCAACTGACTGAGCCACCCAGGTGCCCCTGAGCATCTCTTATCTTGATCAGGCATGTTGGTTTCCTTTTCTATGAACTGCCAGTCTATTTTCCTTACCTATTTTTCCAACGGATTCTCCTTTTCTTTTTGCTTTGTAGGATTTTATTTTTTTAACGTTTATTTTTGAGAGAGAAAGAGAGTGAGTGGGGGAGGGGCAGAGAGACAGGGAGACACAGAATCTGAAGTACGTTCCAGCCTCCAAGCTGTCAGCACAGAGTCTGACACGGAACTCAAGCCCACAAACCACGAGATCATAGCCTGAGCCAAAGATGGACGCTCAACAGACTGAGCCACCCAGGCACCCCAACGTTGTAGGGTTTTTTTCTAAAAATGTGTCCTGGGTCCTATTTTATTTTGTCCTATTTTATTATGTTGAGTTTCACTTTCTTTGTACTTACTCTTTTGTATTACCCAAAATTTTTACATAAAGATGAGTTACCTTTACAATTTAAAAACTTTCTCTTTGGGGGCACCTGTATGGCTCAGTAGGTTAAGCTTCCCACTCTTGATATCAGCTCAGGTCGTGATCTCACGGTTGTGAGATCAAGCCCCACGTTGGACTCTGCTCTGAGCGTCCAGCCTGCTTGGGATTCTCTCCCTCTCTCTCTCTCTGCCCTTCCTCTACTCGCATTCTCTCTCTCTCTCTCTCAAATTAAA